TCCCTAATCTATAGGCTGCTGCCCCCTCCCCCAAATCTATAGGCTGCTGCCCCCCTCCCCCAAATCTATAGGCTGCTGCCCCCCCCAAATCTATAGCCTATCTCAAACCCTCCCCCCATCCCTCACTCCCCTAATCTATAGGCTGCTGCCCCCCCAAAAAAATCTATAGGCTGCCCCCCTCTCAAACCCTCCCACCCCCCACTTACCTGATCTGTAGGCTGTCTCTGGCTGCATGTGTTGCTCCCCTGCGGTTTCAATCAGCAGAGAGAAGCAGGGATAAGATGCAGCTTCCTATCCCTGTCTCTCTCCGTACACAGCGCCACCTACTGGCCGGCGCAGGTATTGCAGTTCATTTTAAATCTCACACAAAATAGCAGAACAAGCTGAAAAATCCAGGGGGGGCAAGTGCCCCCCCTTGCTCCCCCCTGCGGACGCCCATGCCCCCACTACAGCCAAGGTCGCTAGGAAATAATCGTAAAGAAAATCAAGAGGACTGGACAAACACACAGATCGTAGGAAGCTTTGGTCGGAGTGTTAACTACCCAATAGGAGATACATGGTTGTAAGTGCTAACACTGTGGTTTGCCGACTGAGCCCCTAATGATTGGTAGTACAACATTTTGTATCATCCAATGGAAAAGGGGTGAGGCGCAACCATATGCGCCATCGATCAGACATTAACTCCCGAATTGCTGTGTCTGTACATAAAGAATAAAAAAGTGTGGTGAAGTTAAAAATAATAATAATAAAGAAAAGATTTTTGGTCATTGTCAAAAGAGAGTGGAAAGTAACGATTTGTACTCTCACAAATTAAAGAATGCCAAAGTGGATACGTATTGATTCCTAAGTATACACAGAATGCCAATGGCATGAGATCATATCGGCCTTGCCTCAGCCAGTGTGATGTATACATGGAAACCTAGGCATCAAATATATTGACCTTAAAGCTTAAGGTAAATGTTTCGTTTGTAGAGGAGTCATAGACTTTATAGTGCTGATGACTTTATATACCGTAATTCAAGAGACGGAGCAATTGCTTAGGTGGAGAGCCAAAGGAAATTAGGAATCTTCCTTATAGCTTTTATTGTAATTGTACGATATCAGAAAATCCTGGTTTACTTTTCTTGATAATTCATGGAGTACGATGAATGTAAGTATAGAGAGAGATGATAGCTCTGCAATAAGAGTCATAGCAATAGCATAGCAACTTCCAATTTGTTAACTTGCTACTGCAGTACTACAAGCTATAAAACATGGCTTTATTAAAAACAAAACACACGTCTAAAAGCTAGTCTCCTGCTCGCAGCGGCATCATAACATAGCTAAGGGATCACAAGTACTAGTGCACTGATAGCCAAGACAGAACCAGAAGAGGGAAGTACAGCCCAAAAATAAACACAAAAGACAGATCATTCATAATGATAAAGTCCACAATAATGGAGAGATGAGAGAAGGTAGACCAAAAGTAAGATTAAGAAGGAAAATCCTCGATGGAAAACTTGTAAAAGAAGCCATCATGTAGGTCCAAAGGTGGTATGTGGTATGAAACTACCAAGAGACACTAAGGGCCAGAATGTAGCCTGTAAGGAAAAGTACCTTACAATAAACATAAACTAAAAATAGCTGCACTCACCAAGTTCTCCTAAATAGTGTAACATAGCACTAAAACAGGATCACTAAAATTCTGGGCAATGCTTCTCTGGAGCCTAGAGTAGAGAGCTGCAATATCTGACCTTGGTCAGAAGGTCTCCAGTGCTTCTCTGTGAGAAGAATTGGACTGACCCAAGATGATCCACTAGGACAGGGTTTTCCAAAGTGTGGGTCGTAGGGCAATTCCCAGTGGGTCGCGCTGATCCATGCCTCCAGGGCCACCGGAGACCTAAGAGTCAGGCAGGCAGACTGGTTAGTCGGGCCCTCGTTCCATGACCGCGGCCCCCGACTTCAGGAGGCAGAGCTGCAGACCGCAGGTTCTGGGCAGACTGATTGGAGGGAGCCCGGCGGCACACAGGGCGAGCCACCGGGCTCCCTCCAATCAGTCTGCCCAGTACCTCCGGTCTGCAGCTTCGCCGGGTGCAGAGCTGCAGAACGTGTGATAGAAATCTCGCGAGCACAGAGCGTTACCATGGCAACACTCTGGGAGCTCGCAAGACTTCTATCACATGGTCTGCAGCTCTGCACTCAGTGGAGCTGCAGACCGCAGAGTTAACCAACTGGACCACCAGGGAATTTAATAAAAGTAGGACACAGATCCCACACCCTGCCACCCCACCCCCACAGTGTAACCCCTCCTCTCCCTGCCCCACTCCCTACACTGTAACCCCTTGTCTCCCTCCTCCCCACAATGTAACCACAATGCATCTAAAACTGATTGCCATGGTGTGCCAATTGTATGCCTCTAAAGCTGCCATGTGCCATCTTTATGCATCTAAGACTGTTTGCGATGGTGTTCCAATTGTATGCCTCTAAAGCTGATTGCCATGATGTGAAAGGTTTATGCCTCTAAAGCTGATTGCCATGATGTGCCAAGTTTATGTATTTAAGTTGATTGCAAAAGTAGGTCTCGTCCCATAAAAGTTTGTGAAGCCCTCCACTAGGATAATCTCAGAGGAGGAGTAGCCAAAATCCTCATTTGAGATGAGTTTAAGGAATTATGGTATGTGATATTAGGTTCTGCCTTTTATTTTATTCAGTTCTGTTGTTCCAGTAACTACAGGTAGATATCTCAGGGAAAGATGCAGAGAGAGTTCAGTCTTTAACAAATACCGTACACTTTTTTTTTTTTTTTTTACAAGAAAGTAGTAATGTTAATCTGTATAATTCTGCTATATTCAGCAATGACTGAACTTGTTCTGGTGTCTGGGAGTTACACTCATATTTAATAGTTATGTACAAGGAGTCTGTGTTTAGATCTAGTTTCAATCTGTATTGTAAATCTATACCAAGCAAAAAACACAATAGAGGATACAACTCAATACTGTAAAAATAAAAACATAAAATCATGTAATATTTTAACAAATAAAATTCTTGTTAAGTATGATTGCACACACAAGACAGGGTAATGAAACAGAGCACCAGGCTGCCTCCCATGATATTGGGGGGGACGGGAGGCTTAGAACTCCTGGTTCTCACTGGAACTTGGACATCTATAGCACACAAGACTCTTGAAGAAACTTCAGTAGGATACACAATAAAATGTAAATAAATACATATTAATTATATTGAAAAAAATTAAATGCACAATTATGTGGTACACTCTGTAACACAGAAAAGGTCTTAGATATGTCATCATATTATATGGAAGTCCTCAGGGACCCAGATGTAGCTGGTGAAATATAACAACTACATCTGGTAAGAAGAACATATCATTTTATCCCCATGAAAGTTTCCATCTTAATAGTCTGTATTGTTTCCTATTGGCGGTTTATTGAATGTGTGAAGTCTCACTTTCCCCCCACTTTAGCAATTAGGTTTGACAGCATCCTTCTACTACATCCCTCGCCAAATGACTTCTGATGACGCTTGTGTTCCAACTGTGGTCCAGGCTGTCCACATGTGCGTTCTACCAGCTGATTTGCCTTTCACCATATGCTACAAGGGATAACATCTTTAAAACTATGCATTTATTATCGTAGATCATAACAAAAAATAACAAAGCATAACATTTACACATCAGGAAACTAGTGGATCCTAGGCAACATACAAGTCAGTAACCTACAAAAGACACAATGGGAAAGTTAGAAAAGTGTATTAGCAGACCTTAGGGTGGCCAGGCTTAATGCTTACAGGGGTATTCACTAATGTGAGAATTGCTAGGAAATCAAAGGACAAAAGAGCCACAGTAAAAATAGAACTGACTTGGAAAATGCAGCTTCTTTAACCTAAATTTTGACATTTTCAAAGTGTGCTACGTTATATTGCCGTTACAGTGCTTGGATGTCATTTAAGTCATTAATGAGTAATTGGTATTGTTTTGGTGAAGTCACTTCCAAACTCCATCAGCTAATACGATGTGTTTGTAGTGTTGTGCACACGTGTAAACACTTCAGTTATCATTTGAAAACTGTTCCCAGTGATTTATCAACTCATCTTTGGTGTTGAATTTGATAAGCATCAGATGATTCAATTAATGTGTCAATAAATATTCTTCATTGCTTACACTGTACATGAGAAACATTTTACGTACTTGTCTCTGTTCTCTTTTTTTACCAATCTGACAATCCCCAGCTCCCAACGCCACCTCTATCCAATTCTTATCACACTCAACTTTCCCAGAACATAACCTCCCCTAGGCCTATCCTTCCCTAGCACTCTTCTAGCTTTTCAGTGCTCATTCCGTTTTCTGCAATCTACTCTCAATCTCCATCCCCTTTTTCTAGACATCTGACAATGTTTGCAGCTTTGAGTCCCACCACTGTCCAAGATTTAGTCCACTCGAACCTAACCAGAATAGCCTCCCTTGCACTTCCCCTCACCTGAACTCACCATCTCTTACAGGTG